GGTTTTATAGTGAATGCGGTGGTCCACATGATCGGAAGGGTAAATGCACCTTTTGATATTGTGATATAATTCATTATACGTAATATATAAGATGCGCTTGAATAATGGATATGTTCACTGTATATAATACTACTTTACATTTCTTATTTCCTTATTGTTTATCATAAGGTTTGGTGCATCCAACATAAAAGATATGCTCAAAAAAAAAAAATACAATGAAATTGGTACAATCTTACGGTGCTCGCGTTCAGCGGTGTCTTTGTTCGATCTGACCTTTGGAGCTAGAAGGAAGGCCTAATGTCATAAGAATGTCTACTTAGTGACCCTAAGCAATCACTCTCTTTTCGCATAGATGCATCCATCTTGACATAAGTGTCACCACATTTATGGCCATTGAACGCCATCTACTTATCCTTATTAAAGTATTCTTGAATCTCACCTAGTAGGTGTAGACGCTACTAGGCGTAATGTAAACTGTCGCTCCACTCTTGTCTCAACTAGCACAACAAATGACACTATCATCCTAGTCATGATCAATACTTCAATCGTCATCGGCTCTATCATCCGTCGAGATCCCTCTTCTCGTTGTGATGCTAACATCTTGAGATTGGCTAAGACTTAATAGAACCACCGATCAAAGGAGTGCCTCACTCCTCAACCATAGAATTCAGCACACCGCCACACCACTGTTCTACTTTACTCGAATCTGAGATTGAGTCAGCAGATTCGATAGATTGCTCCCTCAAGATTCAAGTATGGCAAATGGATCAATGCTTAAAAGAGATGCAGTAAGAGCTTTGACAATCCAAAGGAGAAAGAAAACCCAATCGATCCTACCTTCGGTCAGTCTCATTCACTCAAAATATTTAGGAGGAACCAATCTCAATGAATTTTCGTCTCCTATCGTTAGAGGCTTTTGATAACAACATCAACTCGATAGAGCATATTACCACCTTTCGCATCTAGATATCGTTGTTGGGCACCTTGGATGCACCGATGTGTCGTGCCCTTTCGACAACACTAAGAGACCCAATTCGAGAATGGTACACCCGCTTTGAAGTCGTTCTTAGTCAACTCCTTTTTTCAGCTTGCGCAAAAGAGTTTGAGCTCTATTTTCTTGAAAATATGCATTCGAGACCATCAGTAGAAATGCTTCTCAAACTCAAGTAAAGGAAAGGGGTAACACTCTATTAACTTTGTCACCATATTTATAATTGATCCAAGGCGTGCAAGAGGTTCATCCGTTACTTGTGACACAGGCTTTCATGATGGGAATCAAACTCTCTTACTTTTTTTTAGTCATCGGTGGAGAGACCACCAAAAACAATACTCGAGATACTCTAGAGAGCCAATCAATTCATTGTTATAGAGACAATGGTCTTGAATAAGCATAAGAAGATGCGTAAAAAGTCGAGGCAGGAGCGACTGTCATTAATCCTAACCCCGAGGTCACCACAGTGAAGGAGAAATTATCAACCCGAGTTGCCTTACCCGAGACCTAAGTCGACTCCATTGAACATGATTAGAACTGAAGTCTTTCTACAAATTAAAAAAAAAAAAACTCTTAAAGGATCCTATGTTAATCTCGGATTTTGATGATGAAACCAATTTATAAGTGATTATGATTTGATCTATGTTTTGAGTGACACAGGATGCTTCAATCAGGATGAGATAATTAAAGCAGGAAAAATCATGTTGGGCCGAAGGAAAAAATGTCAGAAGATTCGACATCGGGCCGGAGGATAAGTCGCGTATCGACAGAAGGCTTCGGGCCATGGATTCGGGCATCAGGCCAAGAAGAGCATATATTACACCAAGGATATCGGAGTTGCATAGTCAACTGTCTGATTGAGCAATAGGCCGTAAGAGAGGACGACGCGCCGAAGAATCAGACGAAGAGTTGAGGGACCAATGATATGTCGGACGATATAATTAATGCTTAGTATTAATTATCTAGATCGAAGTGTGTTTTATAGATGCAGGATTAACTACGATAACAAGGCATGAAGCAAAATAAAGTCCCAGAGTCAAGAACGCGATTTTGTTGGGAGTTTGAGAGTTCGTCGAAAGTCCGGACGTTCGTCGGAAGTTCTGTCGGAACTAGCCGAGAAGTCTCAACACTTGCTAGAGAAGCTCGTCGGAACTCGCCAAGAAGATCGTCGTGAAGTCTAGGAGCTTGCCGGGAGTCCGCTAGAACATTGCCGAGAGATCATCGAAAGTTCGTCGAAAGATTGCCGGAAGCTCGCCGGAAGAAACCAAGATTTATAGACTTGTTTAGCTTAAGTATGTCTTAGATTTCGTAGTTAACACGTAATTGTGTTTGAAATTGGGCTAACTCAATTATGGGCTAGTTGGGCCCATGTAAGAACCGTGTTGGGCCCAATAAAAAAGTCCAAATAGTGCCCCAAGAGATGACACCATCATGGCATAGTCTCCGAGACTATGTTAGGCGGTGGTACCACCGGTCTGGGTGATGGTACCGCCCAGACACAACCTCTGAGAGGTTATAGGCGGTGGTACCACCAGTCTAGGTGATGGTACCGCCCAATGTCAAGCGATGGAACCGCTCAGACATAGCCTCCGAGAGGCTACAGGTAGTGGTACCACCCAATGTTAGGCGATGGTACCGCCAGACTAGGCGATGGTACTGCCCAGTGTAGTGTCAATGTCAGACTGACACTAGGGTGGTGGTACCGCCCAGCACAGGTGGTGGTACCGCTTGGACCCAGGAAACCCAGGATGAGATGTTTTTAGGCTCCAAGTTTGAATCAACTTGAAACCTATAAATATCCCTCTCATCCCTAGTTAAAACACACAAGTACGGAGTATTTAAAAGTAAGAAAACGCTGTTGCAATCACTAAAGAAATCTCCTCCTATAGTCTAAGTTTAGAATTATATTTACGAGGAGTGTGTGCTTGTAAGGGTTGTCTCCTAAACCCGGTAAAAGGAGAAGAGGGGTGTAAGAAGAATGTTGATCTTCGCCTATTAAAGGAAGATCGATAGTGGATGCCCGTGGCCTCGATGGAAGAGGAATCAGAGTGGATGTAGGCCACGATGACCGAACTATTATAAAATTGGCATGTTCTTCTCTGGTTTGCATTTCTATATTTGAGCAATTTATATTACTGCAAACTAAATATTTACTTGCCTACTGCATTCACTTCATATACGAACGAGATTTCAAGCTATCTTTTCGAGTTAGGTTTTTAACGTACAAAAGAGTTTTATGAAATCGACGTAATTTACCGCTGTACTAATTCACCCCCCCTCTTAGTGCCGACTTGTTCCTAATATCCTGAACTGATGAGGACACCGTTGGAGAGAAGGGATAAATCCAAATATTATCACTTCCACCATGATTATGGACATGACACGGAGGACTGTCATAATTTAAAGGAACAAATCAAAGAACTTATCGATTGAGGACACCTTGAGTGATTTGTCCGGAGACATCGAGAACTTTCTCCCTAACCTAAGGGACTAGTGGAGTGATAATCGATGTCATCGACGAACCTATCTCGGGGGAGATAATTTTTCAAGTCATAAAGCCCTGAGCTATCATTAAGAAACATCCAAAATTAAAAGGTGACCCGAAAATAATTTTCAAGGAACAAGAGATAGAGTATCTCGATCCATACCATGATGACAATTAGTGGTGTTGATTAATACTTAAGTAAAGAAAATCATACTCGACGCAAGTAACTATATTGATATTATATACTTTTAACACTTTTTAAAACCTTCGACTACGTAACGGGAGAGGAGGAACTCATGCTGTTTCCAAAGCCTCCTTAGCATTATCCTTTTTCCTTTTAACTTTATTATTATTATTATTATTTATAAAAAAAAAATTAAGATTTTTGAATGTCACACGAATGAATAGTAAAACATGTTCAGGAATATTCGATGGTATTTTAAAGTTTCAGTTGTTCAAAGTATGCAAATACAGCTAATTTTTTACTGTTGAGATCGGAAATTTTGGTGAAACACTGAGTTCTTTCCTAGTCTTCGAATATAATGACAATATAATGCTCATATTGTTGGTTTTAATAACCAAGATCTGTGCTAGTTAACGAATTTTATCGGTATATATTCCAGGATAAACATGTAATAAAAAATAATAATAAAAATCTAAATAAGTAACATGAAAGCATATGGATAAATATCCGGGATTAACAAATTTTCAAGTCTCTAAAGATTTTATATCTACTCTTTTCGTGTTGTGCCAAAATCCACAACAATTATCAAGTCGGTATATTGTCACGATTTAACACTAGAAAATAAGAAAAAGGAAAGAAAATATACATTAATATTATATTGTCGGGCATTGAAAAATCATATTTTTTTTTGGAAAGAAAACAACGCCCGACAATATACGATTTAACACTAGAAGCATATGGTTCTTGGAAAAATAACAAAGCAAGTGGAAAGAAGGCAAAATAAGAAAAAGGAAAGAATAACAATTATCAAGATTAATAAAAGCCATTGACTGCTCATCAAAGTTAAAGAAGAAAGAAATCATAAGGTAAAAGAGTAAATAGAACCTGTGCAAACACAAAACTGCATTTTCCTAACCTACAATTTTAATGTAGCGCAAGGAAAAATCAATGCACCGTTCATTGTTTATATAAACTAAATCACCAAGAAATGGAGTGAATAGGTCTTTGACAGATGCAGAATAAATTATTTGCAGATTAAAGAAGCCTTTAAATCCAGATCATTAGAATATCTGAAGGAAGAAGTCGATCTAACGATCTAACTTAAAAAACAAAAGAAACAAAACTCTTGACAGCCAAAACCAATTGCATTCCTTCGAATTCACCCATCGGAGCCTAAAAAAGCTGAGGATCTAACATTGGATGACATCCATACATCACAATTCTTCAGATTCACTTCGGCAGAAGAGGGTTCTCAGATTTGGGCAGGGGAGCATCCAACAGTTAAAGACAACGTAAAGCTCATCAATAAAAGAAAAACAAGAATGCCTACACATCCATGCTCACCGCACCAATTTTCTAGATGAGATGTAAAAGAAATTAAAAAACAACACAACACGATCGGATCAAATCACTGCATCAAACATGATTCCGGATAACTTCTAATCCCTATTGCTTCTCATTTTATTGACTAAATTAGATGTAACCTATATTGTTGAGTTTTTACCCCAACAAAGAATGTATTTGACAAATAATTCACAATGCTTGGGTGATGACTTCAAGTTATAATGAGGATAGCCAATTGAGTAGAGCTTCATTCACGAGCTCAGGGACTTCATCATGCGGACAATGCCCTGCCTGCAAATTGACGACGGTGGTGTTTGGATAGAACTCTTTAATTCTAGCTGCCTTGGCAGGCCCAACCCAAGGGTCTAAGTCACCCCATATCAGCAACAATGGGCACGAGAGTTTGCTAAGGACGCTGTTGAGCGTGTACTTGCTTTGGTTTGACATAAATCTCGTCATCAATCTGAGAGACACCATAACGTGGTTTATAATGTCAGTAAAAACTAATGGAAAATAAGTTGTAACTTTTAATTTAAGCACCTGTAATAAACTTCTCCAGCATTTGGATCCTCCGCCGGCTTAGTTATCGATTCCACGAGATAATTGTCTACGTTGGAGGCATTTATATACACCTGTGTCAACAGGGGAAAAAGAACGATATGGTTAGCAAACATTAAAGGTTCAGAAAATTATGAATGTGCATTTATAACATCGAAGCGATACATACTATAACATATTTTACTATACTGCACCCGGTAAAAGCTTTTAATTCATCGTCTACCCAAAAGGACCATTGCTCTGAAGACCATTTAGGATAATCAACAAAGATTGATATCATGAACAACGATGTGGGTCATCGTCCTGAGACTAGAAAGGAATATATCCCCCCGTGATGAAGTATAAGAAAGGAAGATATCCTTCTTTTTACTTCATATATTCAACAACACCATCCAATTGTGGTTTATGTTGATGTATTGCAATCCGATAAGGGATGACATTTAGATTTATTGCCAAGAACAAAGCAAGTCATGCAGGACTTCTTTGTTAGGAGACTGTAGTCAGCTGGAAAGGATAAAATTTCCTAGACACGGAACAGAATCAACCTTGTGTCTATGCTACTAGCCTGGCTGTGACCATAACCTACTTCTTACCCACCCCGAATCTTCATGCTAATCAGAACACATTCAGTGGGCGGCGTCAAAGCAGTCACCCTGTCAAACCAAACCCGCAAGTAACTGAGCCGACACTAGAGTGACTATGCAGGATCCCTCTCAAATTTACCTTATACAAGGTCATTTGCTGCATGTCGGTTGAACCAGAAAGTAAAATTTAAGCCAGGAAGTTAATGAGAAATACTGTACGCTTTTCAGGACTTTTTCAACACGAGCAGGTTGCTTTGCTTGCCAGAACAGGAACCCCAAGATTATTCTTTGGATGAATTCCTTCAGTGTGTTGAACACAAACTTCTGTAACACCGTCTCTTCTTCATTGTTCTTGGGCTGTTCACTTGGATTTTCAAATTGTCCAGCTGAATTTAGTAAAACAACTCCACGAACATGCTGAGCTGATTCAGCTGCTGTCATCAAAGCTGCAAACCCTCCAAGACTGAAGTGCAATATCTTCCATCAACAGTAAGTTCTTAAATTATGAAGATGTAAAAAACCAAATTTAGCATGAGGCTAGAAAAGCAAGTCATAGACAGGAAGAACAGGAAATAATTGAAAAGATCATCAATACACCATAGCCAACAATGTAGTACTACAGCCAACAATAGACTATCACAACAAGCCGTAATGTCCCAACCAATTATAGACTAATAATTATCAGTCCAACCTACAAAATAGTGGCCTCGCAATAGACATGTGTTATAGGGATTAAATTCAAGATATTGCTCTTCATGGATCCGTGTATGAAGATCAACAAATGAGTAGTACTCAAAGCAGCTATTAATTGAAATTTACAGTAAAAGAAGCATTGATAAAAGAGATAGCTAGAAAGGGTCATCCATGGCATTAACAGCAAAAGTAAACTATTTTAGACAACTCAAGTGCACTGTCACGGACTTAGCTGGTTTTGCCTAAGTCGTGCGGCACCCTTGCGTGTCCGTCCGCAAAGGTCAGCCTCCCCGAAGCCTCCCATTGTCCCTTAGGACCACCAAAAGAGAGAACGGGTTAGAGAGAACGCCTCAATCGGGATCCACAAGCAAACATCTCCGAAAAACACTTCATAGACAATGCAAATTACAAACAGACTTTACAAGCTCTGAACAGTTGCACAACAAAGGGTAAAATGGTCCATTACAGACCGAAAATCCCTCGCACGTGTCCACATGACACAACTTTTATTTACATGCCTAAAGAGACCACCAACCCAATTAAAATGGGACTATTAAGCCTTCGGCTGCCGCTCTACATGCTGTACAAGGTATGAACATATCAAAAGACACGGACATACATAAGCAGTACACCAAACATCCGGTTTCGAAGTTTGTCCGTGACATTCTCCCCCACTTATTCCTTCGACGTCCTCGTCGAAGCCTTTGTGAACACTGCAACTCCTCGCCTTTGCTGAGTCTTCAATCTTCTGCTCCAGCTGCAATGCGCCTCCTGGCTCCCAGCTGCTCTCCGCTGCTGTTTTTGAGTAGTCGAACCTTTGATCCGCCATGCTGCTTCAACTCACCAATGACTCTGACTCTGGTGTGGGGTTGGCTGAGTTGTGTTGATCCTTGTTGATTCTTGCGGATCCGCCAGATGAAGGAAAAGACCATCCTTACTGCGCCAGTCTCTCAAAAATTCCTCATGCTGCTTGAACTGGGTGGATGCTTGTTGGAGCTTTAACGAGCATCGTCTCGCAAATTTCTGAAGTTTTGGGTCCTTCCTCCACAAAATCTGCTCATTGACTCTTCTTTCAGTTAGTTGTCACATCCAAGTAGGTTCGCATCACTTCCGCTTTCGATTGGCATTTCGTTGGGAAATGAAGCGGACAATCTACTCTCAGTAGCACTGATCACCGTTGGTGAGGATTTGACAACTATTGTCTTCTATTATCTTCGAAGGGTCTTTGAACTTGTGCAGAGCTCCTCTGCTGGATA